CCCCAAAACCCCAAAACCCCAAAACCCCTTAGAAGTCAGATCTTTTGAAAGAAATTTTTAAGGTTTAATATAATATTAAATATACCAATCAGTAATGGAGCTAGAACCAAACAACTCAATCTTGTTCAGAGAGAAAATTCAGAGACTTTCTGTCGTTGAACTCTATCAGATCCTTGAAGAATCCAAATCTGCAATAGAAATACAGGAGAGTAAGCAAGACCAGCACTTGGCGAGGCTTGAGTGGCTACGTCTGAGACTCATGATTTATAATGACAAGTCTTGCGAAGAGAACTTGCAGGAGTTTGAAGACTTATATCAGAATTTAGTTAGTTCAGAACCAGAGAATGAGGAAGAAGCTATCCCACTCAAATACAAGGCTGAGTTCTTGAATTTGTTCCTCAATATCTTCATGTCCAAAGGAGGATATACAAGATGCCAGCTCATCATGAAGATATTCAAAGATCTTTTCGATGCTAACCCCACTGATGACTTTGTTGCTTTCAAGTACTACTCAGCTTACCTGAGTGTGGGGACAAAATACATGACTTTGTCAGCAAAGACTCCTGATGAATACATTGGAATTATATCGGAAGATATTTCTGCTCGAGATTTCCCAGAACAAGTTGCCACTGACTTGGATTTTAGTCAGAAGTTTATGATTGCAGACTTCTACATCTCAAGAAACACCACCAAGTGGATATCTGTATGAGATGAACTACTCGACATTTGAAAATCAACAAAACTCTTAGTCTACATGAGAGACCTCGTTCTTCATAATGTAGATAATTTTGGGAAGACTGATAAAGGACTCAAAGATAGAGCAGAGCTAATGATTTCTTTGGTAGAACAAGAGCTTAAGACTCATCCAGAGTCAGAGCTAGCTGAATCTCAAATCGCGTTGAACTTGGTTAAAATGATGCAAATGCTGGATAAAAAAGAAACAGAAAGACTCATTGAAAGCGCCAAAGCTTTAGAGAGCTTACTGAGCCATCACAAACTTGAAAAATGGTCTACACTGTACTACCAGATAGCATGCTGCATGTATTCATTTATTCTCGACCCTGATTCTGTAGATCAAGGAAAAATTTTCAGTTTCAGCAGAGATGTCGAGAAGCTAGTCGATGAATCTACTTATGAAACTAACTATTATTCTTTGGAATCTTTTGGAGTTTTCGCTTTTTTTGAAGAGGCTATGGGAGTCCAAGTTAACTACAAAGTCTCAAAGAAGTATGCAGACACCATCAATAAAGACAAGCTGACCTTCATTTCATTCATGGGGTCTTTTTCAATAATCAAAGACGTCTGCTTGAAGCCATACGTGGAGACTGCTCTTGAGTATTGTGAAGAACTTGGCATTGACAAGCTTCACCTTTTCAAAGTAAACCTTGACTTTGTGAATAACTATCTCGCGTTGCTACTCCCTGGAGTATCTAAACCAGAGGAAGTCCTGTCTAACTTTGATTCCTTAGCTGAATTGTATGAAGAGAACAGGAATACCATGATTGATGAGAAGCTCGAGATGATCTATTCCATGCAGTTATCTCTCGCAGAAGGACTGAATTATACAGACAAGTATGTAACAATTGCTCAGAAGTTTCTTGCTACTAAATAAAATTGTTACTGAATCCTTTGACAGTATCTATGTGAATACCATTAACATTCTCTTGAACCGCAAAGATTTTCAGCTTGCCAATAAAGTCTGTAACGACTTTTTGAATTATGCTAAGAAAGAAGGAGAAAACACCAAATCTTACCACAAAGCTCTTTCTAAATAAACTTGCTTGTTCAATGGTGTTAAATAATGGTCAGGAATATTTAGAGTTCTCTCAGAACTACGAGCAGATCACCAAGACAGTCTATGGAGCCAACTCGATAGAGCATGCACATGCTATCAAATGATTGGCTCAGGGTAAAGTGAAGATGAGACAATATCAAGAAGCTTATCAAAGCTACCTTAACTGTTATGACATCTACAAAGCCAAGTTCGGGTCCGAAGTCAACTCTGAAAGTTCAACAGTTCTGACCAATATTGCCATGATAAAGAGCTATTGGAGAGAATTTGAGGATGCAGAAAATCTAATCAAGAAAGCAAAAGAGATCGAAGAGAAAGTAACTTCAAAGAATTCATACAAGTATGCTATCATCAAGAATGGGGAAGCCAGAATCAATCAAGAGAAACAAAAGGCCGCACAAGAAGGAAAGCTCAAAATTGGCAACATATATTTGTCAAAAACTAAAGTAGCTGTGACACTAATTGGCATTGGATTGGCTACATTTGGATCAATTTATTACATCAAGAGCAAGAAATCAAAATAGGCACTAATTGGCCTTAGCTGTATTCAATATTTTTAAGCTATCTCGGGGTTTTGGGGTTTTGGGGTTTTGGGGTTTTGGGG